TTATGTGCTGTTGGATTCGATTTGCAAGTATCATGTTGAGGATTTTTGCATCCATATTCATCAAGGATATTGGCCTGTAGTTCTCTTTTTTTGCTGGGTTTCTGTCTGGCTTGGGAGTCAGAGTGATGCTGGCTTCATAAAATGAGTCTGGAAGTTTTCCTTCGATTTCTATTTTTTGGAATAGCTTGAGAAGAATGGGTATTAATTCTGTTTTAAATGTCTGGTAGAATTCCCCAGGGAAGCCATCAGGTCCAGGGCTCTTATTTGTTGGGAGATTTTTGATAACTGATTCAATTTCTTCACTAGTTATGGGTCTGTTCAGATTTTCTATCTCTTCCCATGTGAATTTTGGTAGTGAGTGTGTGGTTAGGAATTTGTCCATTTCTTCTAAGTTGTCCAATTTGTTGGCATATAATTTTTCATAGTATTCCCTGATAATTGCTTGTATTTCTGAGGGGTTGGTTGTAATAAGTCCATTTTCATTCATGATTTTGTCTATTTGGGTGCTCTCTCTTTTCATTTTGAGAAGCCTGGCTAGAGGTTTGTCAATTTTGTTTATTTTTTCAAAAAACCAACTCTTGGTTTCATTGATCTGTTGAATTGTTTCTTTGGTCTCTACGTTGTTTATTTCTGCTCTGATTTTTACTATTTCTCTCTTTCTACTGGGTTTGGGGTGCTCTTGTTGCTCTGCCTCTAGTTTCTTAAGGCGAGCTGTTAGATTTTGTACTTACGCTTTTTCTAATTTCTTGAAATAGGCCTGGAGTGCAATGTACTCTTAGGACTGCCTTTGCCACATCCCATAAAGTTTGGATTGTTGTGTTTGCATTTTCATTTGTTTCCATATATTTTAAAATTTCTTCTCTAATTGCCCGATTGGCCCATTCATTCTTTAGTAGGGTGTTCTTTAACTTCCATGTTTTTGGAGGTTTTCCAGACTTCTTCCTGTGATTGATTTCAAGTTCAAAGCATTATGATCTGAAAGTGTGCATGGTATGATCTCAATTCTTTTATATTTATTGAGGGCTGCTTTATGTCTCAGTATGTGATGTATCTTGGAGAATGTGCCATGCGCACTTGAGAAGAAAGTGAATTCCCTGGCCTCAGGATGTAGAGTTCTGAATATATCTGTCAGATCCATCTGGTCCAATGTGTCATTCAAGTCTATTGTTTCTTTAGTGATTTTCTGTCTAGTTGATCTATCCATTGCTGTAAGTGGAATATTAAAGTCCCCTACTATTAGCACATTCTTATCTATAAGCTTGTTTCTGTTTGTGATTGTTTTAAATATTTAGGTGCTCCCATATTCGGTGCATAGACATTTATAATTGTTAGTTCTTCCTGATGGATAGACCCTGTAATTATTATATAATGCCCTTCTTCATCCCTTGTTATTGTCTTTAAAGTCCAGTTTGTCTGATATAAGTATAGCTACTCCAGCTTTCTTTTGACTTCCCGTAGCATGATATATAGTTCTCCATCCCCTTACTTTTAATCTGAAGGTATCTTCCGGTCTAAAATGGGTTTCTTGTAGACAGCAAATAGATGGAATTTGTTTTTTTATCCACTCTGCTACCCTATGTCTTTTGATTGGAGCATTCAGCCCCTTTGTATTCAGTGTTATTATTGAAATACGTGGGTTTAGAGTCATTGTGTCCTTTGTGGGACTCATGCTTGTGGTGGGGTCTCTGGTATCTTGCATTCCTTGCAACACTTCCCTCAGAGAGTCCCCCTCAGGATTTCTTGTAGGGCTGGTTTAGTGGTGACAAATTCTTTCAATTTTTGTTTATTTGGAAAGACTTTTATCTCTCCTTCTACTCTGAATGACAGTCTTGCTGGATAGTGCTTCCAGCCATCTTCAATATGAATGCCAACATGATATTTGACTACAGGTGATTTTCACAGGCAAGAGAGATCCACATTGCTCTGGACTTAAATCTGGTCAAGTCTGAGGCTAAAGGAAGGAGAACAAAAATGCACCTTCGCAAGAACCCAAGCTGCTCCTTGGTCTCCCAGTGATTAGCCAAGCTGCTGGGCAGCCCCTACTCCTTCCACGAGCCAAATCCTTTTCTCACAGGCTGCCTCCCTATGACCTGTGTGAGGGTAAGGGGACCAATGCACTGGGCTTATTGCCTTTCTTTTTATTCTTAAAAGATCTCATATTCTGCAAGAACTATCCTGTCCTGGCATTTCCACTCAGATAATTTAAGCAGTGCAGGTAAGAGAGAAATGTTTCAAGGAATTGTATCTCTGCATAATATTAACCCAATGACTTTTCAAGTCCTCCCCCATTTTCTGTCCATAGATATCCCATTATTCATCCTTTCAAAGTCCAGGTCAAATACCACCTCTTCCATAAAACATCCCAATTCCTCTTTCTCCACTAGAATTAATAGTTCATGTGTACAGCCTACTGATGATACCTATTTGACAGTGATTCTATTTTTCTTGGATATTTAATTGCGAAATGAAGAAAGTATGGAACGATAGAAAAATGTGCGCTTTGAAATCAGGTTAACTTAGATTTAAATGCTGACTCCATGACAGACATAGACCACTAAGGACAAGATGATCATGTAAAGCACTCTGTTAATATGAGTGTCTTTTGTCTATCTTCACCACCTTGGGGGCAAAACCATTTTGTCATTTTTGCTTGCTTTCTGCCATGTCCATCAGTAGCATTATTATCATAATAATATTGGTAGGTAATATTCACTTATTATGTATCAACACTGATCAAAATAACTAACACACATATATATACACACACACATTATATATACATTATACATTATACACACACACACACACACACATATATATATACACACACACACACTACATTATATATATATTCAGATAAGGAAACTGGGCAAAGAAAGGTTAAGTAATTTACACTAGGTCACACATCTGATAAGTAGAATCAGGATCTGAATCCAGTATATTTGGCACCAAAAGCTTGCTCTCATAACCATTATACTATACCTTCACTCTAAGTATGATCTTTGTCAATGAAGGAATGTATACAACATTTAGGCAAAATGTGACAGGCATTATTAATTGTCCCCAGAATTTTACATTCCATTAAAAGAAAACCAATAAGGGGCACCTGTGTGGCTCAGTTGGTTAAGCATCTGACTCTTGATCTCTGCTCAGGTCATGATCTTACAGTTTGTGAGTTCGAGCCCTGCATCGGGCTCTATGCTGACAGCTCAAAGCCTGGAGCCTGCATTGGATTCTGTGTCTCCCTCTCTCTCTCTCTCAATAAATATTAAAAACTTTTTTTTTAAGAAAACTAATAGAATAGGCTTTTCCAAACAAAGTCATAAAATTATCTTATGGAAAATACCCAACATTTTCTATCAGTACCCCAACAGAATACTATTTAAGTACAAAATTTACATAATTTTTCTTCTGAAGTAAAAATAGTTCTTAATCAAGTCTTAAACTGACACTGAAGCCCAAATTAGACATGAGGAGACTACTAAAGAATTATGTGATCTTTTCAACTAAAGAACTCACGTTACTTTTCACAAATACCTGAAATTCAGTAGTAACATTGCAGGGCCTAATCTACCTACCATTTAAATTAAAATCTCCCAAATTTCAGATATTATTTCTCCTAAAACAACAAACTGTTTTCTTTGTACAAATATTAATGGTCTAAGCCATGGGTCCTCATTACTGTATCTGAAATGATTTTAACTGAATTTGATGAGGGGCTGAGTTTCTATTAATCAATGCAGAAGTTTTCAAGAGGACAAACCCCCAGAGAAGACTTACACCACGGAGCAAGCATAACATCCTTTCTTGCTACTCTCACGAATTAAGAATGCACCATCAGGTTTCCCATAAAGCAAGTCCTCTGCTTGTACTCGATTGATATCCTCAACAAACCAGGTTTTCTCATCATAATGGGGCAGGTTTTCATCTTCCTCATTGATAAAATACGTCCTAAAAATTAAGCGTTAAAATGTTATTCTAACAATCAAGTTACTTATATCTAAAAGCAAACTCATGAATAAAACACTCTTCTACATCTTTAACCACAAAATGGAAAGGGAAATAATAATTACTTCTATAGTTTTTAACAATTTCATTATCTGCTATGGTGCAGTAAGCACAAAATTCACACGTCTCATCCAATCAGCTGACACATGAATGTCTGAATGAGCAATGCTTATGCACCCAGGTTTCATGTGGCTCAGCAGGTCTCTGACCTTAAGTCCTTTTCAAGGAATTCAATTCAAAAGAGGTACAAAGTTCTTGATTCAGTGTCGTCAAGTGACAATGAGAACCAACATTTAGCATGTATAAAGAGGGTCCATGTCTTATATTGGGAACAAAACCCTCTGACAGAAAGGTAAAGAACTTACTCATCAGCATCCTCATTCTTGATTCCTAGCCAGGCATTTAGGCGCTTCTGTCTGACTCCTTTGTGATTGAGCCATCTGCCAAAGGGAAGACACCAGTGTCAGTATCTGTGCCAACTCTGCCCAAAGTAGACATGTCCAAGCCAACCAAATTTCCAGAATGCAGGAACCTCTTATTTTAACCCATTCCCACTAAGAATGGCCAGAGACTTCCTTAAACTAGTTTCCCCTTAACTTTTCCTTCAACTTTCTGCAAAAAAGCAGAAACACAGGAAGATACCTGAAATTAGGCCCTTCTCTCACTTTTCACTTTCCTTTTCTAGAAGGTTGTACCACCATAAGTACACATCACTTGCACTCAAACACAGGGTGACATGTGTTTCTGAAATCATTAGTTTGCATGAGCATGGTGTCACATTAGCAATCTCCACTAAGCCAGAAGACTGAAGTCCTGGATGGCCTATTACATTGAGTTGAACGTTCCAAAATAATTTCAAGGCCTATTTTTGCACCTAAGCAAGACACAAGAAATTCAGAGTGACAATCAGAGTAATTAATACAAATTTACTTCATCACTAGGCAAATCATAGTATTTTTAAATATACCAAACCAACACTTCAGATGCAAAATGACATAAACCATTACATTTAGTTCCACTGACATGGCCACTGGTCTAAAACTTAAGTGAGTATAAAAACCCTTTCATTCAGTCCATTTCTGCATCAGTTAGGAAGGACATTGGGTTTGAGGTTGGTGTTGAGGAGAATAACTACCATGACTTCTGGTGTCTTGACGAAACAGAAGCCAAGCATCTGTGATTTCATATTGTTGGAGCATTTGCTGTATCCCTGGGGGTTACAGCTGCATCTTTCTATAAGTTTGCTGTGGCCAAACCAAGAAAGAAGGCATATGTAGATTTCTACAGAAATTATGGTTCCATGGAAGATTTTGAGGAGATGAAGAAGGCTAGTATCTTTCAGAATGCAAAGTAATTTTGGAATGTAAAGAATATCTTTGGGTTGCACCCACTGGGAGCTCCTGGGTGGCTCAGTCAGTTAAGCATCCGACTTTGGCTCAGGTCATGATCTCACAGTTCGTGGGCTCGAGCCCCGTGTCTGGCTCTGTGCTGACAGCTAGCTCAGGGCCTGTTTCAGATTCTGTGTCTCCCTCTCTCTCTGCCCCTCCCCCACTCATGTTCTGTCTCTGTCTAAAAAATAAACTATAAAAAAAATTTTTTAAAGAATTTCTTTGGGTTGAGGTCCATGGAAGTGTGTCACTGACCTGTGTTCCTAAACTATGAAACATAAATATTGGGTTATGGAATAGTTTCTCTTAATAAATAAACTAACAAATACTGTGGACAGTAAAAAACAAAAACAAAACTCATTCATCACCATCCTCCAACCAGGCTCCTCCTCATTCAGGTCTCATCATAAACATCATCTCCTCAGGGAGGACTGCCCTAATTATCCCAACGAAAGCAGTCCCCTTGTTATTCTCTATACTTTACCTTATTTTATCACCTTCACAGCACTTTCCTAATATTATTTTATATTTTTACTTATGTTTGTCTTTCCCACTAAAACTAAGCTGTTTTAAAGAAAAGAGTTTGTCCTGTTGTTCATGTCCCCAGTGCTGAAAACAGTGCCAGCATCTAGTAGATATTCAATAAATACCTCCCTAAACACCCTAGATGTCTTTACCAGCCAGCAAGTCATGATTTATCATCTATGATGTTATCTGAGCTCTCTTTTATATTTAGCTTACATAATTTGTTCAAGAAACTTTCAAGGTCTAGTTTGCCATACTTATTCATGCCTCTTGGGATGGTATATTTCTTAATAATCTCATCAATTTCCAGAGAAAACAAGGGCTCCCATTCATTCCTTTGGTCCATGGCATAAGGTTTCTTCTTGGGCCTTTCTTCAGCTTCATTATGTGACCAGACCCACATAAGCTTTCCAAGAGCAAACACATCCTGATTTTAGACAAGAATAGCTCATTGCCTTCTTTCCAAAGGTCTTCTGTATGCTAGGTGTACTTGCTTTGCCTTTTTTTTTTTTTTTTTTTTTGACCACAAAAGCAAACTGAAATGATCCCTAGATCCCTAGAAAGGAGTTACTAAAAACTACTCAGCACAGTGTAGTAGTAATTGTTTCTCCCCAAAACTTATCACCTTAAATTTTACTCTACTGAAACTCAACAGCCACTGTTCCAACCTCTAAGCTTTTATTTTCTCCCCTCTCCCTTTCTCACACAAGCCCTGAAGCCTATGGAAAACTTACTCAGAGATTCTACTCTGTCTTCTGCCAGGAGTTTGAATAAAGTTGTGTTACATGCTTGAAAGTCACCCATAAACATATTTCATAACAGTCTATACATTACCTAGAACAAAACCTAATATGTTTTCCTTTTTCATGGATTCTCTCCTATAAAACAGTCATTTGTTCTAAAAATCTAACACCTTGTTCTGATAATATCTCTTTCAATCTATATTTGAATAATATCCCTATATCTAACCAAATCATATAGTTTTCCATAATATTAAAGAGTTGGGTTTTAACTCTTTAAATCCTTAGGTAATATTATCTTGCATACCTGCTATTGGCACATTTCTATTATTTGAATACAGAATTTCATTTCTTAAATATAAAAACCCTTTAATAGACTGTCCTATATATTTATTTGTAGGCTCCACTATTAGTGTCCTTGTCTGTGCCCATGAGGAATAGTTTCTATCTCTGTGGTTCTACTATGTAATCAGATTCTGGTTTTTGTATGTAGGTGTCATAGAGTGCTCTCTTGTCCAGTAAAAAAGCGGACACAGAATTGAATATGAGAGAGGCTAATGTCTGGGAGGAGACAAGAGACCTGAACAGGGGTTTCGTCTCCATATTTATTGTGCTCACAACTACCCATGTGGTAAATGTGAAGAAAACAAGATCTTACACATGTGGTCATAGAGAAAACAGACCGTAATCATAAGCTTGCATAAGAAGCAAAGGGTCTGAGGAGCAAGTGGAGTCTGTTATCAAAGTACAATAGTAGGGGCGCCTGGGTGGCTTAGTCGGTTAAGCGTCCGACTTTCGCTTGGGTCATGATCTCGCGGTTCGTGGGTTCGAGCCCCGCGTCAGGCTCTGTGCTGACAGCCAGCTCGGAGCCTGGAGCCTGTTTCAGTCTGTGACTCCCTCTCTCTCTGACCCTCCCCTGCTCACGCTGTCTCTCTCTCTCTCTCCTAGAAATAAAAAACATTAAAAAAAAAAAAAGTACAATAGTATACTGGCATCAGATGGAAAGTAATTTCACTCATGATTCCATTACAGTATCTCGCTAGCTAACCATGGGCATTATCGCCTCGTGGTGGCAGCTTTCGGCCATAAGCTTTTTTCTAACCCATTTATGCAAGTACGACCTATTTCCCCACATGTAGGCAAATGATAACCTGTACTTTTTAAGCTATACCACATTGTTCATGACACACCCACCCTCTGAGATTTCCATTTGTACAGACTAGAGTCTACAATGCTACATTATGGTTTATCCCACACTGTTAACTTTAGGTAAACTCTGGTACTGCCAACTACTAACCAGGATTGCTTTCCTAAATTCTTATAATGTCACTGGCTGGTTCTCAATTACAAATCTTCTTCCTTTAACATGTCTAGTGCCAGCAATAATGTGATGCTGGTGCTTCCTCCCATGCGGGCTCAGACTACTCACACAAGGTGCTGATCTCGGATCTTGCGCAGCTGGATCAGGTCAGGTTTGATACTGTTCATTTTTTTATCTATTTCTCGGTTGTCCAAAGCTTGTTTCTTCAAATCTTGCTCTAGACGCATTTTGCTATCATGAATCTCACCCAGACGTGATTTCAATTTGTCATAATTCATCATAATTCTGTGAAAATATTTTTGACATATTAAGGCTAAACCAGGAACCAAGCAGAAGCATTCTATAGTATGAGCATAGTCCTTAGTATCTTAAGTGTGGTGGACATCTGTTGTTTTTGCCTGGTCCATATCCATTCTCAGACTTGGTAATGGCACCGTGATGTTCCCCTGTAGGTAAGGGCTCCCTGCCCCCACCTCAGAGTCCTGATGAATATTCACACAACCCAGCCTGGGCAATAAGAGTATTCCATTATATCCTATCGCCCCACTCAGGCCTCAGGACTGGTTCAGGAATGGGAGTAAGACCCAAATTGATCCAAAGAGAGTCAACTCTAGGACTTTTGCCAGAACTATTATAAACAGGTTCTCTCTTTCCACTCAATTGTTAAGTTATAAATATATGATTCTAGGACTCCCAGCAGCTATACTGTCAACCTCATAGGGAAAGCCTGTCTAAGGATGAAGCCAATACAGTGAAAAACTAAGGCAAAAGACAGACTGTGAGAGAAAATCCTGATGACTTTGTTTGGGCCCTGGATCCAGCAATAACTAAACAAGCAAAGTATGTATCATACTCAAGAAGCAGCACAATATAACCGTTAAGAGCAATAGCTTTGGAGTCAGCCTGCCTAGGTTTGAATCTCTGCCCTGCCACCTGTGTGGCTATGGGCAAGTTATTTAACTTCTCTGTGCCTATTATCTCCTCATTTGTTTAAAATGGGTACCTACAATAGTACCTACTTCACTAAATTATTATGTGAATTAAATGTAGTAATACCTGTGAAAGGAATAAACAGTGCCTGGTACATCTTGTTAAGTACTCAGAAGATAACTCAAAAGATAAAGTTTTGATGTACTCTGAAGGCAACAACTGTCTGTGTCACTCATTTGTCACTTAATAATGCGTGGTTTTATATTAGTATTAAAACTCCATCAGCTACTTTACCTCCCTTTGCAATTGAACTACAAGTTCTTTTCTATGTTTTCATCTTAATAATGACCATTTATTGATATCATATGCCAAGATACAAAGACACAAATCTTTCTGCAACATAAGTATGCATGTGTGTGTCTATCACTTGATTCTCACTGCATTTCAAAAAGATATCCAGTTTATGGAGGAGGAAATAGGATCAGAGAGTTAAGTAACTTACCCAAGGTTACACATCTAGTAAGTGGTCAATACAGAATTCAAGCCCATGGTTTTAATGGTTTAAGCTATCCTGACTTGACAGCACTTAGCCCTATTCTTACGCACACAGAAGTTCACTGACACTTGGTGCTAGTATGAGAAGTAATTTTGCCTTTCCCTTGCAAATGATTCATTTTTATTTATTATCCACTTTTTCATTCCTCAACCCACTGTTATTTGGCTCAGTCTCCCAACATTCCACTAAATTTGCTATGATAAAGGCTTCCAATATCCTTTTAGTTGCCAAACCCAATACTTCTCATCCTGTGCACTCTCTCTGTGTAATCTCATTCTTAGCATCTATCAACTACACATTTATGCCTCCCAAATCTTTTCTGCACCTTGAGTTCCAAAACCCAATAATCAGCTGCCTGCCTCTCAGACAACTCTATTTGGTTTCTCACAGGAACCTCACACTCATTGGTCCCAATCCTGAACTTTCCTTATGTACTTTCTATTTTGGTGAATAACACCATTCCAGAGTCTAGGAATAATCTAGGAATCCTAGAGATCTAGGAATAATCTTTGACTTCTCACACACCTACCATATCTGGTCAGGTATCAAGTCCTCAGTGTCTCCATTAATTCTCCCTCTTTTCCTGCCGTTGCTCTGGTTCAGGCCCTCACCATCATTTATCCTGATGACCACAAACACTGCAGTCACCCACAGCAGTCAAGCTGGTCTTCCTGCCCATGGTCTTGTTCAGCCTCCAATTTATTCTCAGACTGCCACTGTTTATTTTCAATTCAGCGAATATTCAATGAGCACCACCCTGTACTCTCAGGTACCATAACAGGTGCTGGAGCTATCAGGGAAAATAAGCCACCATCCTTATTCCAACAACAAGCTTGCAGTTTAGTGGGTGTGGCATTCAGCAAAGTCACGGTAGGAATCAGGACCAGATACTGTAGGGGTAGGGACAAAAAGTTCCTAAACTAGTCTAGAGAAATCAGAGAAATTTCTTTAAAAAGTCATGTGTAAGCTAAATTCTAAAGGATGAGCAGGATTTAAAAATTAGGAAGGATGTAGAAGGAACACAGAACAGAGGAAGTTCAATTTGGTGCCATTAGTGGGAACAGCAAGTAGTTCCATACAGCAGGACTATGAAGTTTCAGGGGTAAAAGCAGTCATGACAGATTATGGGGGAAGAAAAGAAGTCTCCTCTCACTGATGCACTTGGAAGTGTGAGGTAGATTTACCGTTCAATTTCCTTTTCATTCCCCTCTCTACGAAATCGCTCGATATATTCTTTGCTATGTTGTTCTTGTGTGTGACACTGCTCTTCAAATATTTTAATTGTTTCATTAAAAGCTTCAATTGCAGTCCTCTTCATCTGTATTTCCTACAAAAGAGAAAAGAAAAGACACGCTTCATTATCTTTTTTTTTTTTTTTTCTGGTAACCTTGGTCTTTTTTTTTTTTTAAATGTTTTATTTATTTCTGAGAGATAGAGAGAGAGACAGCGTGAGCAGGGAAGGGTCAGAGAGAGAGGGAGACACAGAATCTGAAACAGACTCCAGGCTCTCAGCTAGCTGTCAACACAGAGCCCGATGCAGGGCTCAAACCCACGAACTGTGAGATCATGACCTGAGCCAAAGTCGGACGCTTAACTAGACTGAGCCAAAGGTGCCCCGGTAACCTTGGTCTTAAATCTTATAATTCTAGTTACAATTCCACAGAAAATGAAAGACGGCTAAAACAACTCTTATTTATTTAACTCCTACCCTTATTACTTATATGCAAAACACATCACTCAAACCCTAAAACAGAAGAAAAAGAAGTATTACTTAAAATATAGCTGAGATCTACAAAAAGGCCTGAGTTGCTTGGACTAACCCTAAACACTTTCAGAGTTTTTTTTCTAATGTTTGTTTATTTTGATATAGAGACAAAGCATGCATGCACTAGTGGAAGAGGGGCAGAGAGAGAGGGAGAGAGAGAATCCCAAGCAGGCACCATGCTATCAGAGCAGAGCCCAACAAGGGACTTAATCTCAAACCATGAGATCATGACCTGAGTTGAAATCAAGAGTCCAATGCTTAACCAACTGAGCCACCCAGGAACACTGAACACTTTGAAGACAAGGATAAAGTTATGGCTTTGCACTTATTGTAGTGCTGACCCCCAAAAATGTGAAGAAGTGAATGGATACAGTGGAGGAGTTCATACACCAACATACAAAGCCTTATTCCCAGGGAAGTCCTATAGAGTCTATTTATTCTTACTATCATTTTATTTTTTCCAAACAGATTCATCAGTAGATTAATCTGATTAGATACAGAAAATGAGGGGCACCTGGCTGGCTCAATGGGTAGAGCATCAGACTCTTGACCTTGGGGTTAGAAGTTTGAGCCCCACACTGGGCATACAGATTACTTAACAATAAAAAAAAACTTAAAAACTCTGTTAATGTTCGTTTAGTTTTGAGAGAGGGAGACAGAGCATGAGCAGAGAAGGGGCAAAGAGAGAGAGGGAGACAGAATCTGAAGCAGCTTCCAGGCCCTGAGCTGCCAGCACAAAGCCCGATGCAAGGCTCAAACCCACAAACTGTGAGATCATGACCTGTGCCTAAGTCAGACACTTAACCGATTCAGCCATCCAGATACCTCCAAAATAATCTTTAAAAAGAAAAGAAAAAGCAGAAAATGAAAGGGGATAGAATAGCAGCTAAGTCAGTGCAGAGGAGTGCCTGAGTGGCTCAAACGTCTGACTTTGGCTCAGGTCATGATCTCAAGGTTTGTGAATTTGAACCCTACATCAGGCTCTCTACTGTCAGCGCAGAGCCCATTTCAGATTCTCTGCCCTGCCTCTCTTTCTGCCCCTTCCCTCCTGGTTCACTCTCTCTCTCTCTCAAAATAAATAAACTTCAAAAAAACATTAGATGCAGAATAAGATGAAAAATCTTCACAAAACAAATGCCCACTAGGCTAACCCATTTAGCCCTAGGATTAAGTAGTCCTATACATTTTGATGAGCTCTGAGGTTATCTGTAGACTTTAGCATCTGAACTCAGATTACCCAAAATCTTCAGAGGGTTAAATTTTGTACAATTTTTATTAGAAAGTCAAGAAAGATTTTAAAGGTCTAGAAAACTGCTTTTCCTGAGTATTTACAAATTTTGAAAGCTGTGGTGTTTATAATTCCTCAAAACTATCTAGCATTGATCAATTTCAACAAATGATTACTGAGGATCCACTATATAGAAAGTACAATATGGTGATAAAGAGATCAATAAAACATGAAGCCTGCCCTCCAGGTTTCAGAACACACAGGTGAAACAGATTTCTGAACTCTAATAAGGTTTTGTTCCAGGTCATCATAGAGGCAATCAAATCACAGCATATTAGTTAGTTACTGCTTTACAGAGGCTTTGTGGAGGCTACAAGAACCTTATGATGCTCCATATGGCTGAAGTTATAGCATATGTATCTCAAATAGTACTGTAAACTTATTGGAATGCCCGTATCTAAATATCTATAAATTCTACAACTTTCAAATTACAGTGGAGGGTCTTGGCTCCCTTGCAAGGTCAAAAATTACCTATGAAGCCACAGCCCTATATCGTTAAAGACAACACTAATAGGGGCGCCTGGGTGGCTTAGTCGGTTGAGCATCCGACTTTCGCTTAGGTCATGATCTCGCGGTTCGTGGGTTCGAGCCCCGCATCGGGCTCTGTGCTGACTGCCAGCTCGGAGCCTGGAGCCTGTTTCAGAGTCTGTGTCTCCCTCTCTCTCTGACCGTCCCCTGCTCACGCTGTCTCTATCTCCCCTAGAAATAAATAAAATGTTAAAAAAAAAAATTAAAAAAAAAAAAAGACAACACTAATAATTTAGACTTTACTAACACTGGTGTATGTGTTGGTAGGTAGGGAAGCAAAGGAAAAAGTATTTTATAGCATTGCCAAAGCAGCAGCTGCCCCATAAACAATGCCACTATACCTGACACAAAAAAAACTATAAATCTACCTGTATCTACACCCCTTCTCTCCTTTCTCCTCTCCAGCCCCTCGTATGGTTCCTTCTCATCAGCACACAAACAGGTTCTAGTAACACCACTTTAAAAAAATAATCCCTTAACCCTAAATTCTCTTCCGGTCAATTTCCTTGAATGAACTATTTATATGGGCTGCCTCTCTTTCATCTCTCATTCTCTCTCCAACTCACTCTTTTCTGGCTTCTGTACCTACCATTCCACAGACACTGCTCTTTCCAAGGTCACCAATGATCTCACTGCCAAATTCCTGTCCTCTATCTCAATCCATCACTAAATCCTATAACTTCCTCCTACTTACATGTAGTCCAGATGTCAAATATCCCCACATGCAGTCTAGTCTCACCCTGTGCCAACTATGGCTCAGGATACACCATCTCTTCCCATTCTCTGGTAAGAATTCACTTCCATCAAATCAATCCAATTTTTATCCAAGCTTTCACAGAAAAAACAGTCTATAACAATTATAAATACTGGAACATTTATAAACAGAGGAGATCAATTCTTTAACTTCCCTTTACCACTCACTATCCTCACTGTCCCAGCACATCTCCTGTACTGCTAATCACTGGATCTTCCTCTTCCTCCACCTCCCAAAGCCTTAAACCTCCATGGTTCTTCTCTCCTCAGCCATCTTATGTCTTGCTCTCAAGTTCCCACACAGAGAGATTTAGCCCTCTTCTAGCCTCAACTTAGTGGCTTTTTTGGTTTCCTCCATCTACTCCCATGCCCAGCTCCCCAACCACGGATTCCAAGTCCGAAATGCAGTCTCACACCAGCTGCTCAGAACTCATACTCTATGGTTAAATCCCCAATATAACTGAGCATGCAGGCAACAATGTGGAGTCTTCTTTGCTTTCTCCAGTCATGACAAGAAAGCAGAAGTGCAGTTCTAGGGGAGCCTGGGTGACTCAGTAGCTTAAGCATCTGACTCTTGATTTCAGCTCAGATCATGTCTCACAGTTGATGAGATGCGGGCATCAGGCTCTGAGCTGATGGTGCAGCACCTGCTTGGGATTCTCTCCCTCTTTCTCTACCCTTCCCTTGCTCATACGCACACCTTGCTGAGATGACAAACTTTGAACAAAGACTTGAAGGAGTGGAGGGGTTAGCCAGCTGGCTATCTGGGCAGTTGGGGAGTGTTTCAGGCAAGGAAGTGGATAGTAAAACACTCAAGGTAGGAAGTAGGTCTAGTATATTCGAGGAACAACAAAGAGGGTAGTGTGGTTGGAGTACAGGGAGGAAGAGAGTAGTATGGAGGTCAGAGAGGAAGAGGAGCACAGATTATGCTGGGCACTGTAGAGAGTACTCTGGTCTTTCTATGTGTAAACCGAGAAACCATAGACAGGTGTTAAGGGAGTACTGTGATCCTCCCTCGGTTTTACAAGTATAGGCTTCCCTCGCATTCTCAAAAGTAGAGTTCCTCTGAAATCTTTCACAAGCCAAAATGGCATAAAGCAAAGAAGCAATTAACATTAATTTGCATGGAAAAAAATTTTGAGTATTCCCAAACTCAAAAAATATCTTCTCGTAGGCTTGTTTTTTCTAATACCTTAGGACACATCTTACTAACAGATGCACAAAGTAAATGGAGGGAAAGCACAGATGCTCACACACACAGTTCAAAGCTATGGTGGCTTGATGCTGAGATGTGAGTGTAGTTCCAAGGGAGAGAACTTGGTGGCACCATTCCCACTGCTCAGGGTGCACAGTGCTTTTGTAACAGCTTGCTACAAAACACACTCAGAATGCTATGGTCACTTTTTGCCTTTTTTTGTAAAAGCAGAAGTCTTAAGAGTTATTTCATTAGTGAAAACAAGTACTAATGTAGGTCTTTCATAAGAGCCGAGTGGTGTAATGAGAACTTGCAAAATGCAAGGGGATATCTGTATCTCCTAGCTGCTCTGCTGAGAACTGATCAGGGGGAGGGAAGCATGGATAAGGGCAAGAAGATCATTTAGGAGGTTTCTGTGGTAAATCAAAGTAAGAAATGATAATGACTTAGATCAAGTTATTAGCAGTGGATGTGGGGAGAAGGGGTTGCATTCTGGCTATATTCTAAAGATAAAGTCAACAGGAATCTTGATGGATTTGATGGAAGGTGTACAAGAGAGAATCTGAGATGGCTCTGAGGCTTTTGACCTGAGACAGAAGGACATGACCGCTCTCAACTGAGATGAGTAAGGCAAAGGGTAGAACAGCTCTGAGTTCAATTTTGTTCATGAATTCAGTTTGACCTGTTAAGTTTGAGAGATATCTATTAAATATACAAGTGGAACTGTTGAAAAGGCAGTTTGATATATATGAGTCTTAGAGAAGATAGAAGAGGCAGAGACATAAGTTTGGGAATTAT